GACAACTGTATGTGGCCGGCTCACGCGTCGAAAAACCTTCCGATTTATTCGTGTACACACCAGAGGGAAAAACAAAAAATATCGTGTATCCACAAACACTCCAATAAATAAATAGAATTGAAACGACACTTTGAAATGTTTTCCCGATGAAAATGAATAATAATAATAAGTTTCAATAAAAATAATAAAATGTAAATTGAATTTTATCATAACGAGTTTGCTTGAATTTCCTTTCTTCTGAGATCGCAGCAATGCGCGACAGGTAAGCTAGTTAAAAACTAAATATTTAATATTTATCTTAATTACTAAGAAAATTAAGTTCAATTTTTTTTAATTCCACGGTGGACCACAAAGTGCAGTTACACAATTTAATATAAATAATGTTCTGATTACTTCATTTGGAAACGTTTACTGGAAAATAGCTACTTTATTAATTGGTACATGCGAGTTCAGTTATGATAAATATACATCAGACGTGGCAAAATGTAAAACTCTATTACAAAAATTTGACTTATAGAGGCGGTGAAGTCAATTTCCGTCTTCCTACGCCCTAACCATATTTGAAATTTTTTAAGAATAATAATCCTTATTGGAATATGAAGACTGTCAGTTTGATAAAATAGACGTACAATACCTTAATCAATTTTATCCAATAGTAGAATTGGCATTGTTACTTACAAGCAGGCCCGCCGTAAGCGGGCGTGCAAGGCGTGCACCGCACGCGGGCGGCACGTCCAGAGNTTACACGGGGGGCCGCGGGTATAAGAAATAGACAACTGTTTGTAGGTCCTACACTACAATAAGAAAAACCTACAATTTCAGTAAGAAAACTGGGCCTGTTTATTTTACAGTATAATTGGTTTTTCGATGGATATTTAGGTCTTAACAGAAAGAAAATTAAATACGTAGTTTTAAAAATTACTGATATAGTTTTAATATGGCCTTGGGGGGTCGCCAGAATTTTTTAACTTGTAAAGGGGTCGCGTATCCAAGAAGGTTGAAAAACACTGATATAGCAGAAAGAATCTTTTAACGTAACTGTCCGATTATCATTAGAAGAGAGTGACGCAACAATCGCCTTTCATTTGTTGCTGTAGTAACGGAAGGTCTCATATTAAATGGAGGAGGAATAGTTATAGTAATAACTTACCTACTTGGCAAGTTACAATGTATTCAATTTGAATTTAAAAAAAATGTTTTGTGTCAATGGGGAGGGATTAAGCCACCGTAGCCCTCTCCTTGTATACGCTACTAATCCGAATCATTTATACAATATTATATGGTATTTTATACGAGTTTATCCGTTAAGATTCACACTTTAAATGATCTTTCATTAAAGAGCGTGAGTAAGCAACATGCACCCAGAGAAACCCATAACCAAACGTGCCAGTGTTCAATAGTTTTATCCACTCGGCCACTGGTGGGCCATCATGTAGCTTAATTTAATAAATTTAATTATTATGTTAATTAATCTTGAAATGAATTTAATATAATTATTATATTATTAAATATTAATGTCATTAAATTGAGATTATATTATTTTTTATACAGTTTTAATTATATAATACCACGCAGAGATGATCAAAACATTTATGAGTCATAATAGAAAATTTATATCAGTCGTAAAGCGGGATCTGCTGCGTGTATATATATACAGTATATAGCTGCAATTTATTTTAAATGTGTAATATATTAAAGTATTAAAAACGAATTTTTAAAATTCGGGTGATTTTAATTAAAGTCTCTACCAAATCTGGTATAGCGAGATTTCAGAATATACAGAAGACATTTTCTTTAAAATAATTAGTACCGAAACTTACCATTATCGAACTTTTGGCGCTTTATATCTTAATTTGTGTGATTTTTTTTATTGTGGGGACACTTAAAAAGTATATTTTATCGAAGATATTTTACAAATTTGGCAGCCTTGATAGACAGGTATAACATTGCAGTAAGAAACATCAGATTGGTTCCGCTAATCATGCTGGAACCGATCTATCTGGTTCTCCTGAAGATCCACGAGGTGGGAAGTCACAGTATCTTCAACAGGTTCAAGGAATCCCGAGGGAGCAGCCACAAATCCTCATCTGAAGTCCCGGAGTGTATAAGCACTCATGAAAAATCTAAGTAATCGTAGCCATATTTGATTCTGTCAGGCCGATGTTAAGTCGCCCTGGCAATGCAGCTAGTATTCGTGTTATAATGTATGCATTGATGGAATGAGGCAACGCAACACTCGACCAATCTGCCAAATAAATATTCTCTCAGGAGGACTTTCTATGAAAAACTGGCCCCTATTTAGGCGTTAAAAGCGTGAAGAAAACCTAGAAATCAGTCTGTTGACGAAGCGCAAACCCGCAACCAGTTTTATCCTCGCAGCCAATTGTGTGCGCATAGTGAATAATGGATGATTAAAATTACTTATATGAATCCTGGCTTTTACTATTGTTATAAATTTTCCATGATGACTACACAAAATTCCGTATTTAAGCGTTACAAGTAAATAGTTTTATATAATTAAAGCTGTAATTACAAGAACATGATCTCAGTTTGTATGTGAAATACAACGGTTCGCTTTACGACGGATCATTTAACGGATTTTTTGAAGGGACTAGTGATGTTAACGCGTAGTTTGTTTTATATTTAATATTATTATTTATACATATAATTTTTCAAATAAAATTTGTTTTATAACACGTATTTTACTCATAAGCTCTTGAAGAAAGTAAAAAAGAAGACAAATATGCCAATGTCTCTAAAATTGGTTGTGGTGTCGCCGAATCAAATTATGGTCTGTCACTAAAAATAATTGGAGGAAAAAATGCATTAAAAGGCAAATGGCCTTGGCAGGTAACAAAATATTTTATGTTAATTATTTACTACATAATATTTTATCAATTATTGATTTCACACAGCTTTTTTTAATGTTTGCGTAGATGATGATGATTTAGGTAAACTTATGCTATCACGAATGGATAATATATTATTATTTCAAGTTCTCTTAAATGCTATAAGCTTAAGAAAATTGTGTACAGTAAACGATTACAGTTGGCCCTCTTATTATTTTGATAAGATCTCTTACAATATTCATTTTTAAACTTACCTCTACAAAAAAATTGTTGGTTGGAAACACAGTAGACTCCGATTATTGAAATCACTTTGGTACCTCGCCTATACTGATAACATTAAGCCAGGTAGAATATGCGCCCATTCATTCGAAGATGATAACGAAATTCTGATTACAATAAGCAAAGTCTGTTGCATAATCTCAATTACTTCATCATCATCATCATCATCATCATCATCATCCAAAGATACATTAAGCCATTCTAACTTACTGTATAAATGCTTATTACCTAAGCAAATTGTGATAAGGTGTTTATATCTTATCATAATTTGCACTTTCTTATGTGAAAATAACATATTTATAGCGATATAAACTATAAACTACAAAATTATTATTAATCTTTTAAGTCAGAAGAATAATTTTTTAAAATATTTTTATATCCAGGTAATTATTTTAGATAGATACAAAACTCCATATTGTGGAGGAACGATTCTATCTTCAGAATGGATCCTAACTGCAGCACATTGTGTAAGAAGACGTCGAAGATTAAGAATCAGAGCTGGAGAATTAGATCTAGCGAAAGAAGAGGGTAAAGAACAAGAAATAGGTGTTGCAGAAATTCATATTCATCCCGCTTATGATATCCATACTGTCAATAACGATATTGCATTATTACGCTTACTACACCCATTAATCTTTAATGAAATCATTCGACCTATATGCCTTCCTACTCAAGGTGAAGAGCTGATGTTACATTCCAGAGTTACTATTGTTGGTTGGGGGAAGAGAAGAAACACAGCAATATACGGGAGTGACCTCCTTCAGCAAGCAGAAGTACCAATTGTAGACCTAGATGAGTGCAGAAAGGTATATAAGGATTATTATATCAGTGACAACATGCTGTGTGCAGGATTCAAGAGGGGTGGAGTAGATTCTTGTGAAGGAGACAGTGGTGGACCTCTACTTTTCAAGAAGGAAGGACGATGGGAGATACATGGCGTAACAAGTTTTGGAGAAGGTTGTGGAAGAAAAGGAAAATATGGCATATATGCAAAAGTTGCAAATTTTGTCAAGTGGATAAGAAAAACTATAGTAAGGAACGGTTCTAATAACGAACGAATATCTTCTTAGTATTTGTTTATATAATATTTTGTAAATATGTTTGTCGTATCAAAAATTTCATTATAAATTTCTCATTATTGACGAATTTTGTAAATATATATCTAGTTCTTTACGAATAGAGAAGTAAAAATTTAATTAAATCATCCAATTTGTAACAAAACTGAATTAAATACAGTATATCATTTGATACACAAATCACGGTTTACATTCTTTACTTACTCCAAAGGACTCTCCTTTATTAATGAATCTGAATCTTTACCCGATATATGAATTCCTAGATATGTCGCGTACCACTTATTTCTGAGACTTCCTGAGAAATATCAAAAATTCGACTTTTCTCCGGGGATTATCAACTCAGTACATCATGAAACGCCTCTGTTCAATGTTATCGTATGACTATATAACAATATTCTGTAGGTTACTACTACACGAAATAATTTCATAATATATCATCCCCTACGGGTTAAGCCCTCATCAATGTATCTTGAGTAGTGATTATCTAGATAACTGATGCATGCATGAATAACTAAAGAAAGAAATTTGGATCAGTAATGATATAGGGCCCTATATAAATACCAAATCTAACTTTATGATATCCTTTTAGATATTTAATTTTTATATATTTTAGTATATAATAAATTAAAGAGATATTTCTTACCTCTTTCGCATAATGTTTCATGAAGGAAAAATAGAATTATTATTGTCACCTTCCACATGTCTTGATACTAAATGATTTAGATAAGCAGAGATGATACAGTCGTGAACATTGCCAGATGACAGTTTATATTTATTTCTGCGATAAAGTTCGCTACAAAAGCTATAGCATCTTAACTCGTCTTCATATGAAAAAATAAAGTTAACTGCATTAATCAAGGGATACCTGTATATACAGTTATATATGATGCTCTGTTTTGTAACTCGTGCCCCCCTTTTTTGTAGTCTGCAGGCGCCGCTGGTTGACCATGTGATGTTCGTGCGGTGTTTGCATGTTCAACAACTAAATAAGGGCCAGTTTTTATAGAAAGTCCTCCATGAAGACTATCTGCTAAGAGGGTTCTTGCCCTTGGTAGAGCGTCTTTGGATCTAACAAGAGACTATGCAACATTTATTAAATGTAGAAAATTACTTTATAACTTAAAACCAATAAAATAAATACATGAATTTTATTTCCAATAAATCGCAATGCCAAAATTGTATAGTTTAATTTAACGTATATATTTTATTACTAATAATGCCCATCCCTATTGTGACGCCATTCAACAGAAAAAATTGAAAAGTTATGAACTCATTGCGCGACCGAAGTCATAAATTAAAATATTACTTGATAATAATTTCTATATTTCAATATTAAATATAACTACAATTTTTGCATTAATTAGTTGCAAGATACATCAAATCAGCTTTTATTTTCCCGAATTTTCGTTGATCGAGACGGTACTCCATCTCTTGATGCACTATAGAAAGGCCCATTGTCGTAGATTCCATTCTCTGGATCCGGTATAACGTATAACAATGGCTGCGTATAAACTTTACACGATGTTTTTATGTATTTTACCTTTCCTAGTGAAGGGAAATCTTAACGACGATTATCAGCATTTACTCGAAGGAATCGATACCACTATAAAAATGGAATTAGAGATACTTGGTAATGAAACGATTATGAATCATTATCGGAGGTTAAAACAACATTTAACGGCAGATTATGACGTTAATGCACGCCTTGTTAAGTATAACACTAATGTCACAGTAATTAATGTGTATATGGTTCCTTTGTCTATCTTGAACTTGGTAAGATTTCTATTAAACTCGATTTAAATACGTTTTTATGTATGAAAATTAATCCATATTTAAATAACTTTACCGAAGGAAAATCCGTGCACTACAACTTTAGAACGATGAATGAAATTTTATATCAAACTCCCATTAAAAAACAATTAAAAAAGCAATTAAGCGTGAATCGTGCGTCATTCAAGGTAAATTAAAATCGCGATAAAATTATTTCGCGCGGGAAAAAAATTTTGAAAAAATTTAAAAACTTGAAAAACATTCCAAAAATTCAAAAAAACAAAAATTTTCTAGGGGATCCAAACGCCCGAGTTTTATGTAACGCTATGTAACTTGCCCGAGACATTTCGGGCTTGGGGATTAGGGCGATGGGATAGTGAGATAAAGGGTAGTCGCGTGTTGTATATCGAGTAGGGTCCGACTTAATGACGACGTTATTGACATTTACAACTTTTTATGAAACCCAACCCTGCCATCAAAATTAAGCTTTATGTCGTTTTATAACAATAATAAATGTATACAGCTTTTTAATGAAATAGCGTAACAGATATTACAAAATTTGACTTACGAACCCAATTCTGTAAGCCACATAAAAGAAGCTTCACTAACGCTCCGCTTCAAAACTTATGATTGACTACTAATGTTAAAGTAAAATTACGTCATTAAAAACTAAATATTTAATATTTATCTTAATTACTAAGAAAATTAATTTCAATTTTTTTTAATTCCACAGTGGACCACAAAGTGCAGTTACATAATTTAATATAAATAATGTTCTGATTACTTCATTTGGAAACGTTTACTGGAAAATAGCTACTTTATTAATAATTGGTACATGCGAGTTTAGTTATGATAAGTAAGAAAATCATTTAGATAATTATCATATATGCAATAACAATTGTTGTATTTTTTCTAATTCTATTCTCTGTTCTCTTGCTATTCCTTTAAGATGAACAATATTTAAACTTGCCTATATTATTACCTAACTATGCCAGTAAGAATTTCTTGGTACACATTCACCACACTAGTTTCGTTATGTAGAAGCTACAGACGCCATCTATCGACGATTAGAAAAAAAATCGCACAATCGAGTTTGTAAAATAACAATTAGTACGAATCACACGCTTTTTATCGAATAAATGGACGGTATTTACGATTCAAATTTGTTTAATTCCAAACAGATTCATTGTAAAAAGAATAATTTGTTGTATTTCAAACGACAACATAACGACACCCGTAACACCAAAGTCACCAAAAAGGGGACACGAAAATTTCGGTATCGAATGTTATCGCTTCCTGGCCCCAGGCTAAGATCGAATTTTAGTTTCCGTTCTAATCAGCTTAATATCTGATTCGCTTCTACCAGAAGCTTCGATATTAAATTGATTTTTGGAAATTGGCGAAAGGTTGGAGCTTGCTCCTCCTTTGTCGCGGGTTGGCTCGGATTTGCACTGTTTCCGAGAATAGCCCACACCCCAATGGGGTAATGACTCAATAAAGATTAGAAATATGTTTGATATGGCCGAAGCCTGAAAATAGGCTTCGGAGATATTAATCGTCTACTTTTTACCATCTTCCTGGCCGGGCGATTTCATACTAGAACGGATTGGAACGACATCCAATTGTGTTGTCATGAAACGGTACTATTACTGTTGTCACGCCAACACCATTCAGACAGATTTAAAAAGTTAAATATTTGCGAAAACGTGCAAAAAATAAAATATAAAATACACCGTTCAGAAGAATTGGTAAAGGAAGTAAGATAATATCCGGAAATTGTAATCTGCTCGATTAATATTAATCGTCAAAGATATTTTTTAAAAATAAGAGAAACTTACAGTTAATGGCTGGCGTTTCAATCCTAACACTCATTCTGATTGGTCAAACGAATCGGTCACTGATATAAGCTGACAAAGCGAATGCTGTTACGGCTAGTCCCTCCGATTATGATATGAAATCGCCCTAATCACTCTATGCATACTTCTGTCGAATAGATGCATAGAGGTCGATAGATTTNCCCATCATACTTATAGCATAAGAAATGTCTTCGCATGGAGAAAAAAATCCGACCGGCGCGTAATTACTATATTTTTATTTATATTATAGCGTTAACAGCGCCTCTATTGGCATTTATCAGAATTAAGATGCCATGCGAATCGTCTGTCGCCAGGTAGAACCATCCGGCGGCGCCCGAAAGCCAAGTACCCATAGTCGTGCTCATGACAGAAGTTGACAGGACTGGAGAAATAGGGAATCCCCACAGAGCTTCCTTCTCAATTTGCACTTGTTCGCATTCGAACAGCTCTATCGCATATCAAATTGCAATTATTTTGTTAATAATTCTTCTCACATGGGTTTAAGTATAATTAATGATATTTTAACTTGGTTAGGATTAAATCTGAAGCTTAAAGACGTTTCGAGTAGTGGAACAGACATTGAGGGTATTGATTTGTTTAATGAAATCAATACTTTAAAGTCGCATTTTCCAGAAAACCAGTCTGATGATCCACAAACCCTCTTACAATATCTTTTTACTAATGACTTAATTTCAACATTTTTCCAAACACAGCAATAGCACTAAGAATATTACTTACATTGCTGATTTCAGTTCCATTTGATGAAAGGTCCTTTTCAATGTTAAAAATTATATAAAAAGCTATTTAAGATCAACAATGCACCAGCAAAGACTAAGTAATTTAGCTATAGTTTCAATTGAACACGAAATCTTAGACAGCTTGGATACAAGAAAACTGATAGCAGATTTCGCAAACATAAAGGCAAGAAGAGTTCTGTAGATAAACATTTATATGGTTTTACAGTTAAGTAAACAAAAATAACTTAGTAATAATAAATGGTTTTTCTTTGTAAAGTATTTCTTTTCTTTTTTCACACCCTTATGAGACAACACTAAAGAACCTTTCTGGCACACTCAGCGTAGGTAGTCGTAGTTAGACAGGGGGCGGCATAATCGGTATTGCACACGGACGTTCAAACAACTAGCGGCGCCCCTGCTTACAAGACAACAACCAATTGCACAATATCAGTTACAATGAATAATTTCTGTTATTCTTGTATTGTTGACTCTGTGTATGTTTTGGATTCCGGCAGACATCAGACAGAAATTAACATTAGGATGTGTGATATTGATAATATTAACCGTTAGCCTTGTTACTATCACATCAACTGTTAAATTATCTGAAGTTGCTGAACTCATAGGTAAAAAAATCATTTAGATAATTATCATATATGCAATGACAATTGTTGTATTTCTTACAATTCTATTCTCTGTTATCTTGCTATTCCTTTAAGATAAATAATATTTAAACTTGCCTATAATATTATTACCTAACTATGCCAGTAAGTAATGCAACAGGAAAGAAATTTTTCTCTGTTTTAAAACGAGTTAAAAATGATTTAAGAAATTCGATAAGACAGGAAAAGCTGTGGTCTTTTGCAGTCCTTCCTATAGAAAAACATATTCTCGAACACTTAAATTAAAAAGATGTTGATCAATTATTTTCATATTTACATGAATTGTAAAGTCCCAAGTTTTAATTAACTTATTCAAACAACAATGACCATACAAATAATTCTGGGTCAGTGTAAATCCTTTTGTAAAATTCCAACTAAAGACAGATGGTTAACAGCATGTAGATACAAAAGGGCCCGCTAGAAACTTAATCCGGCACGGCTTGTAGAGTCTCTCTTGTCTGGATATCTATGGCAATACGGTAGGACATGAAAGTATACAGGCATAGTACGCTTTCCTATAACATATTTGTCCACAGATGTAACTATCGTTTTGAATCGTCTAGTAAATAATATTCTTAGTTCTGCTGCTGCTGTCCCATTTGGCTACATAAATACTCGATGCACAAATCCGGGTAAGGATGTTTGGCAACGTGCCAGAGACATTCCTTAGAAACACTATCCATGCAT